CGACGAGCTGGCGTACTCGGCGAGGCTGCAACGCGTCGCGTACGGTGCGAGTCCGCACGTCGCCAGAAAGCCACCCCCGGATCCGCCTAAAAGGCAGAGCTCCCAATACGCCCCGTTTTCCCGGTTCGGACAAACCACAGTGGAAATACACCCCGAGAAGAGTTTGCCTCTCAGTCTGCCAGCGTATCCCAGCTCGGATTCGTTGAGCGTGTCTCTGGATAGTACCGGGTTGCTTCCCCCTCCACCAGCGCCGTCGTCGCCGCCGCGAAGATACGAAGATGATAAACTTAGAACTGGATCTGATGCTAGTTTCAAGGTAGCTAAAATTTGTTTTTTGGAAGAAGTGTGATGTTTCTTTTAAAAGTAAATAAAATATCTTCTATCGAGCATTCTTGACGGGCGAATGCTGTTGTTAGAAGTCTATATATTTTTCGAAAAGTTCCAAATATCACTAGTTATTTCCAAATATCACTTCATTCTTACTGGTGGTAGGACCTCTTGTGAGTCCGCACGGGTAGATACTACCACTCTGCCTATTTCTGCCGCGAAGCAGTAATGCGTTTCGGTTTGAAGGATGGGGCAGCCGTTGTAACTATATTGAGACCTTAGAACTCCTATCTCAAGGTAAGTGGCGGCATTTACCACAATGTCTATGGACTCCAGTAACCACTTAACACCAGTTGAACTGTGAGCTCGTCCTCACATCTAAGAAAAAAAATACTGCTTCATATAGATTACTGCTAGAATTATTTATATAACTATATTCTTTTCCAATAATAGATGGCAACACCAAACTTTAATACGCAAAAGTCCAATTGTTTCAACTTTTTTTTTTATTCGTTCTAGTCGAATTCGAGCACAGAGTCGGACAGCATTCCATTCGCAAACGAAAACGCGGGAACGATAAAGCAGAATCGCGGCCAGATCGCGAGCCGCCCGCACACGGTCGACTACGGACGGTCCGGCATGGGGCACGCCGGCCTGCCGCCCCGGGGCAACGACATAAAGCCGACAACGCCTCACTCGCTGCCCGAACATAAAGACGAAGGGAAAAGCACTGAGCCCGTGGACGTTCTAAATGACATCGGCAACATGCTCGCCAACCTGACGGACGAACTCGACGCCATGTTGGAAGAAGAGAAACGTCAAGGCCTGACCGACTCCTAAAACTAATTTAAGCATCTCTCCAAACTCTCGAATAAATTAGAATAACTTCAAATTCCAAAGATTTGATACTTGATTATAATTATTGGCAAATGACTTCCGTTGAGTATAAATTAAGGGTTAATTAAACAGGTAGCTTTTGATTTCAAGAAACCTTTTTTTTTTGTTAAATTAAATAAAGTTTATTTTAAGGGACGAGCAATTTGCTTGTAATCAACATTAAATATAAAACGATCAAACTCGATCGAATAATAATAATATATTATAGTTTTGTAGCGTTTTGTACTCTTTATAGTACATTTTATATATGGACAACAACAATAATTAATTTGTTATCGTAGTGAAATTTAGTGAGTGGTGTGTTTTTTTTTAATTGTTTTTTTTATCTTTAAATCATAATTAGTTCCTTTGTATTTTTTAATTTTCTATTGAAGTACTATGATGTAGTCGGATCCAAATGATACAGATGACGTGGCTATTTTTGTAAATATTATTTTATTACTGAATTCATGTCTTGATAAAAAATGTATAACCGAGTAGCTAGTTTTTCATGTATAATAAAATTGTAGAGTACTCGTTTATGAAGTAGAAATGGACATTAGTTAGTGTTTATACAAAATGTTTTAGATTTAGATCGTAGCATTATTAATTAACTTAGGATTTACTGTATCATAGAAATTCATGTTAAATAGATTATATTATGTCAGCCGCGTATGAAGAACCATAACAGAATAAGGACGTGATAACTTGAATCATTAAGAGTTGTTTCGCTTTGAAAATAATAACGACAATAACGCACGGAACAAATAAACTACAATAAGGCTTTTAACCATATCGCTTTAAAATATGCCTTAAGATTGACAAAAATAGCGAACCAAGACCAACTTTACGCAAAAAAAAATGCTGGCAACATTTGAATTTATCTACTTCCTACAAATAATCACGGTAATCGTGTATGCTTTCCTACTTCGTGAATTCTAATGTCCGATAGTGATAGAAAGCGGCCATAACAGTGATAAAAATAATAATATGGTATAGTACAAAACACTAGGTTAAACAACACTGACTGTCTCATTGCCTTTTAGAGCCATTTATACTGATCAAACTTTGGATGTATTTACAAAGTTTTTTTTTTACTTTTACAACTATAGAATTGTCACTGAATAAGTCTTAATTGAATTACGCATTTTAACTTTACATTTAAAAATATTAGATCTTTTTTTTTCCGACTTGGAAAAGGACTTGTTCCTTCTATGTTCAATTAAGTGTTATTTTATTGTATCACTGATTTCAGGATCGATTTTAGCATTGTAATTTCAAGTTTTTGTCTATGGTATAATTGATGTATTTAATTCTTGAACTCGGTTTTTTTTAATAAGTAAAAACCAATACTCCGTACATTCTTATTGCATTCGCCTGATTAAATGAAGGTAATTTTAAAATAACGTAGCAATGTAGCTTGATCGTGTAAATACTTAGAGATCAATGTTTCTACTAACTCCTTTGATAACATATTCTAGACGTTTTGTATACATACTTAACCTTAAGCAATAATGTTACTGTCTACGTTACGTTTCTCTTTGATCACGTGGAAGAAAAAAAAAGAAACGTCAAACCTTGTAAAAGAGTGGAGTTTTTTTTTTTTTAATAGAGTGGTTGATGGGTTTTAATGTAATTTACTAGATTTTATACTTCAAACTTTTGTAAAACAATAGGTATATTCAATTGTCTAAGTTATTTTCTTCAACGTGAACAAAGTTTCTTGTCGTCACTCATTCTAAAGGTGCTAGGCATGAAACTACTTTGAAGTAATAATAATTTACATAATTTGTATCATTTGTCGAACTAGTCAAAATTATTTTCGGAGTGGCGACGAATGTGACTATTTTTAACTGAATTATTTAATGTAATTTAATGTTATTGATGCAGCTTAACGATCCTTACTTATTTTATAGTTCAGTTGTCTTTGATATAATATATTTGTAATACCCAAAAAATATTTTTATTTACCCCCAATTATCATATTCACCGGTAGGTAATAAGGTATTTACGGCTGATGCTTCGGTACATCAGTCGCGACATAACCGCTCTTGACCTATTAGAACTTACACACAGGCGCCAAGACAATAAGGGCGCCGCCAACGAAATTATTTATATTACACTTACACAATAAAAAATTTGTAGTGGAGTATCGATAAGTAAGTAGATACAATAAGCGCAACATATGCCTTGTAAATAACAAAACTTAAATTACATTTCTAGTACAAGTCTCACAAGATTTACGGCAAAACAATAAGTCAACATTAACAAATAATAAAAAATGCAGATTGGTAAAAATAGGAGACGCTTCATGGGTTTCGCACACAGACGCTGCCGGGGGTCGGCGCGACCCTGTTCGGAGGCGCTCTGGTAACGTATGTATGTACCTGAGTACAAAAAAAACTGCTAATCTCAAGTACTCATTGAAATACTCTATCAAAAAAACTAGACAGCTAGTCAACTGCAATGCAATTTCATTAATTTTTCCCCCTCCCTATCTTTTCGTCGATAGCCTAATGGACTATTCCAACTACGCGCGGAGGAAGGACTGGAAGGAAGGTTGGCTTATAAAACTCTTTAACGCAAACAGGACGGTCACGATCGTTCTGCTAAGAGTGTAGCGACAAACAAGAATAAGAGGGGTTAAGTGATAATTTTTCTACTGGTGGTAGGGTGCGTTCCGGCTTAAACAGTGGAACGGCCGTAATAGAATATAAGTGAAACTTTGATCTCGTGTCTCAAGGTGGGTATTTGCGTTCTGAAGTCTACACGCTTCGGTAACCACCATGAGGTCGAGCATAAGTTCGTTCATCCACATATGCAACAACAGCATTTTCATTTTGGATATGCATTAAAAATCGATTTCACATAGTCAAATAGATTACCACAGAAAAATCGCTTTAAAGTAGGTATATAAATCATACTAGGTAATACTGATACCCACTCTAACCGGCGCCATCTAGGCGGGCTTCGGACAGTCTGCCGACCGAGAGGGCTGGTGGTCGTGGCGCCGACGACCGCCAGTCCGGCGTCCCGAGGGGGAGGGTGATGGGAGAGATGTGCTCCGCACTAAACTCTTCACTTTCCCCCTTTTGCCTTGTCATGAGTTCTGTCTCATGCGAGGTTTGGACGTTGGTTGTTCAGCGACAGAAGGTTTTAGTCAGTTCGACTCTGACATACCCCGCCCAGTATCCCCAGAAAAGGGCGGAAGTCCGGCGATTTCCTCCTGACCAAAAAAAAAAAAAAAATTATAGCAAAAATAAAGGTGCATTGATTGTAGTTAACAGGGAAATAATATGATGATAACAAAGAAAATAAGCAGCACCTAATCGTTTTGTTTTAAAATGCAACAAAAATTTCTCATAATTTTCATATAAATTTTCTCATACATTAAATGAATATAAATTGAGAAGTCTCGCTTATTATCGTCGAATTTTTATCCTCGAAAACGGGCTTATGCAAGTGCTTGTGATCATGTGTTTTGGACAATATTTTATAGTTTTATGATTGCTCATTATTCCAATTTTCCGTTTACCTTGGACCAAATGAATACCTTTGATGCAATCAATAGTATTCATTAATTTCAGTACTGTAAAATGCTCGGAATCAATGTACAAAATCAAATAGTAGCATGGTTTTGTAAACTTAAGTTAGATTAATCATTAACAAGACAAAATTAAGTATACTTTTATGTTGAATGCAGTCTTTAGAAAAATCGATTTAATCGCTCCAGTGCCACTCGCTATTTATCGAAATCACTCCAACACTACTGTCAGATTTTTCTGTCAACTGAAAATTTCAGCTGCGCGATCGATAACACGAATTTGGAGTAAGCGGAGGTCAAGTTATATTGGGTCATTGATGCACGGCTAACTGCACTAGTATCACAATCAAGTTATCTAATTGCGGTGTGCTAAAATGGATACTTCCGGTGCGTATGGTGGTGGAAAAGCTGGAGGCGCGTTTGACCCTCAGGCTTTTATTCAAAGGCCTCATGTGATCGTCAGGGCGGTATGTTGGGTAAGCATCATTAAAAATGCTCTGGTGTCCTAATAATACGTTATTATATACACGTATTAAAAATATTCAATTAACAGATTACTCCTTAGAAGAACTCATTACATTTAAAACATTTGTTTAAATATAATTTACCAATAAACGTAGACTGATTGAATTAAATGAGAAAAACAAACATTTAATCAAATTATTAATAATGAACAAGAACCGAATCACGTCGATATTATACATTTCCCATAAAATTTAGGATATGACAAATTAATCTCAAATTCCAACGAATACTTAAATTACCTATCTCGTTCTTAAAACAAGACGCTGAAAAAAATATTAATTTCAAAAAAATAAATATGGCAAAATTATGAGAATAAAATTCTGAAATCGCAAAATGGATGAACACCCAATTAATAATGAAAGCTGGTGGTTCTATAGGAGATTTCTGACATAATGCTATTAGATACTGCTATTAAAAGACAGTTAAAAATAGCTGCTTACAGAACATTCAACTTTCTGAGACAGTAAATGCCTGAATTAAGTTAATTTGAAATTTGTGTAATTGGGTTTAGTGCATTATAATTTGCAGGAATGTTTTCATTGCCCAACACCATAAAACACCCATATGTCCAGTTGAGCTTTCATACTGCTCTAAATTAAAAAAAGTCTATTTCTTTATTTCCATAGACAATAGAAAACTATTTAAAACCTTTTGTCTCATCCAGCTGTTCAGCGTGATTGTAATGGGCTGCATATCATCCAAGGGCTGGCGTACTGACTCTGATGGGAAGGACCATTGCGTGTACAATGATGACACAAATGCATGTAACTATGGTGTCGGGATATCTGTCATTGCATTCATTGCCTCCGTGGCTTTTATTGTCGGGGAATATCTCTTTGAGCAAATGTCCTCTGTCAAGACTAGGAAGCATTATGTGTTGGCTGACTTAGGTTTTTCTGGTGAGTTCTCTAAATTGTATTTAATGTTGATAGTAACAATTACATAAGTTAATTATCTATATATTCTTTCATTAACTTGGATTTGATCAGACTATTTACTATTATAATATCCACCGAGGACCATAGACATGAAAATTGATAGTAAAAATTCATTAGATCTCCTCAATACTTTTTTAATAGGTCAACGCCACTTATGCAGTTCACTATATCCAAAATTTTATAAAGTAATGAATTTTCTATCAAATCAAAGTACGTGTCACTAAATCTCTACTGATGTATGCTATAAACTAATTAAATATGGGGTCATTCCATTTAACCTCATTTAATTTATGAAACATGAAGAAGACTGCACTACATTTTGTGCCATGTTGAAGTAGCTATCTTACTTAGCTCGTGATTTTATTTATCTGTTCTACGGAATGTATGTGTTCTGCACATTGTGCTTCTAATACTCAAGACAAAAAAAAACTAAACTAAGAAAATTCTTCTGACGTAAGTTAATCTTGTCAATCTTGAAAATAATGCTTTTACATATTTAAGTATCTTGTACGATGAACTTGTACGTTGTCTGTTACATTGTGAAACTAAAAAAAAAAACAAAAATATTATGATTCGACAACAACAAACACAATTCTGCGTAAATATCTAATCTTATCATAATTAAATCAAAGTTGTGCCGCTATAGTTACGCGTGGAATCGAAATAATTATGATGTCGGAGGTTGGTGGTATAATGAACAAGTTTGATAGAACTGCCCTTTATATTTCTGCTGTTAAAGGTTCCTGTATTCTATAACGATTGAGAACCGATCCCATATTTCAAAAGGTGTAGCGGCGTCCATGTTTGGGAAGACGTTCACAGCTCTTTAAAATCATCTCTTTAACTCGGTAAAGAACACAATTTTTAATTACATAAAGGTTTTTGACAACACTGCATATAGATTGTATCCTTATTTCTCCATGTATAGTCTCTCGGAGTATAGTCCGATCGTAATCTCAATTTCCCCTTTTATATTCAAAGAATGAAATCTTCATTTTCTTGGATACCTTTCTTTGAAGTCACAATAACTTCACGTTTCGTTTTAAGAGCAGTGCCAAACGTGCACATTGTGAAAATATCTGATGCCGCGAAACCGTCATAAGTAAAAATTATATAATTTGAATATATGACATCGCATTAAATCTATACTGATATATTAATCTACAGTGTTTTTTACGGATGTTCCGTTATAACTACTGAAAGTATCCATGTAGAAAATACATGTACTTTTTGGATAGTCTAATATTTATATAAGTGTTGGACTCCTTACACCAGTTGCGGGGGCGTTAATGATGAGAATCTTTGTGGGGGTGAGAAATAATAATGTTAATTTTAAATGCCAGCGAAGCCGACGGGTACAGCTAGTAATATTATATAATTTGATTTCTTCATAATATTTACAAAGGTGTGCCGAAATATAATCCCTTGTATACGGTCTTATTGCCACTGAAAGTAAACTTGGCTTAATTTATCTTAAAATAGCAAAACCCAGTCAGCCTTGACGATTTTTCACAGCATCGCCCGCTACCCCAATTTGAAGATTATCTGATAATTTCATCAAGGGGTCCAACCGTTTCGGAATTTATAGAGAAAATCATACCTTTGGACTCTATAGGGAATCTTTCGACTTTCATAGATTATTTAAGTAATGGGCAAACAGTTTGTTTTATCTCTTCCAAACGTATCATTCATTTTACGGAGCTCTTTTACGCAGTGGCGGTATATTTTAGGACAGGATAAATTTTCCTATGACCTACCGGAATGTTTCCCTCACAACGTAATTGGCATAACCCCCAACCAACTTTTTCATTTGAAGATTACATCAAAGAATAAAACAAAGCTTTAGAAACGAAAAAGTTGTTCATTCCAGAACGTGATGGAACATATCAAAAATGACCTCCTGAAATTTAAAATCGTGATGAATTTACATGTTTAGATATTTATTTCGATAGAAAAATATCTGCACGAAATTATTTTCGTGAAAATATTTGGGTAAGGCATGGACAAGGTACACCCGAAACGTCGATCGATTTTGAACGCTATACGATCTTGACCGCTTTTCCAAATGTTTCAGCCTATCGTATACACATTTGTGTACCATTGCTGGAATGAGCTAATGCTGTAACTGCCTGATTCCCTATTTTCCTAGTGTTCAAAGTTCAAAACCTTCAGGTTGTAGACCAGAAAATGGACCAATAATAGTTCAAGATGTTGTCTCAACTTAACTCTGCAAAAGATGCTTTCCTCAATGTTATACAATGTTCGTTCGCCATTACTCTATTAACGCTAAACTAAAGCTCCCTAAAGTTTCAAAAACGTGTTTTGTTCTCCGCACTATTGAGGTGATTTACAAAAACAATAATATTATGCAGCATATGATAGGTTAGTTGAAAATACAAATCCGAGATTATCAATTTTAAGACCACTTCTTATAGCAAGGTCGCGCATTCCTCTCAGCTAACTGGTTATAGATCCGAGTCCGTACAAAATTATACTTTCAGGGTTTTCTGACGGTGCGTATTGCCGAAGTGTGTTAACCTTGGCCATAGATCCGAGACTACAAAATTATATTTTCAGGGCGTTCTGTGTGCTTAGTGCGAGTTTTTTTAACGTTCTCGATAGCGTAAAAGTTAGCTCATATTTGTATGGAACGGGATCGTTTGCCGCTATGGGCGCTTTTTTTTTATGATTGATAGATTACTGGTGGCCCGGAGGCCTTTCCAGTTTCACCAGGACATGTAGGCGAGCAAAGGCTCAGCCAGGAGAGCTATGGGCGCTGTTCCAACTGCATACGAAATTGGACTAACTTTTACGCTAGCGAGAACGTTAAAAAACTCGCACTAAGCACACTGACAGTGCGTATTACCGAAGTGTGTTAACCTTGCGTTTACGCTGCTCGTCTGTCGAAAATACATATCGACGCTTGAAAGGCAAACGTGACTAAGCGTCAATAACTGCTTTGTACATAAATGATAGGCAATACCATATTCGATGAACAAAAAAAATATATTTCTAGGTCTATTAAAATCATTTCAATCCTACAGCTACTAGCTAGATTCTACTACAGCTAGATCCGTTAAAATAAATTTCGTTTTCAGGTATTTGAACTTTAAATTAGTCTACTGTAAAGTTCACGCATTGTCGCTTAGTCACGTTTGCCTTTCAAGCGTCGATATGTTAATAAGGGAAATAAAATCATCAGAATGACTCCATTCACATTCACTTGTCTCACAACATCTCTATCTCCTACTCGTCCATTTTATAGATCGTAAAACCACGCAATGTATTGTTACTTTTTATGTGCAAACGGTGTTTTCGTCTTTACGGGGTCGGCCGTCCTCGATTTTTACTTTGCAAACGTTACGGAGGCAACATTGTGTGTTGATTTTAACTGATAAGGTTGATAGTTATCTTTAACCACCTGAGTGACAATACCGCGTTCTAATTTTTGAACGCATTGTTGAATAGTATAGATTACAATGATACTGTTACTGTTACTGTACTACTAATTACACATCGTACACATTAAATAGATTTGATAATTTGATTTCTTTGTTAATTTCTTGGAAGGGTGGACGAGCTTACAGCCCACCTGGTGTTAAGTGGTTACTGCAGCCCATAGACATCTACAACGTTAATACTGCCATCCACCTTGAGATATAAGTTCGAAGGTCTCAGTGTAGTTACAACAGCTGCCCCACCCTTCAAACCGAAACGCATTACTGCTTCACGGCAGAAATAGGCAGGGTGGTGGTACCTACCCGCGCGGACTCAAAGAGGTCCTACTACCAGTAAAAGTGTTCAATGATTACCAGAATTCCGTATGCCGTAGATGAATTTTATTTTAAAAATAAATTTTCTGAACGGAAAATTTGATACAAAACCAGTCCGATGCGTTCGTCGGTAGTTAGTTATTTCATCACTATTCATTCTTTGAACTGTATCATCGCTGGAACCAAAGTGGAACGCGTATAAAAAATTTACATAATAATTTAACTTTGACATAGTCGCGAACAGAACGATGTCTGACATAAAACAACCTGAAAAACAAATGAATAGCTTATTTCAAAAGAGTAATTCAGTACCTTACATAAGTTTGCCTTNCGTCGGTAGTTAGTTAGTTATTTCATCACTATTCATTCTTTGAACTGTATCATCGCTGGAACCAAAGTGGAACGCGTATAAAAAATTTACATAATAATTTAACTTTGACATAGTCGCGAACAGAACGATGTCTGACATAAAACAACCTGAAAAACAAATGAATAGCTTATTTCAAAAGAGTAATTCAGTACCTTACATAAGTTTGCCTTACATGCATACTATACTGACACTGTTACGATATTCATAAATAAAAACAACGACTGATTCTATTGATTGATGTTTTGCGTATAAAAGACAATAATGTCTCAAGGTATCATCATAATCATCAGCCCACAGTCGTCCACTGTTGGACATAGGGCTCTCCCAATCCACACCAATAAGCTCGGTCTTCTCAAGATATAAAGTTTACATTTTCAGCATTCTGGGCCTTCTTGTATTTCGTTGGATTCTGCTATTTGTCCAATGCTTGGGGCAAAACTGAGAAGCCACCGATCGGAACGGCGAACAACATGCAGGGCGCTATTGCATTCTGCTTCTTCTCCATATTTGCTTGGGTGAGTAATATACTAGAAAATAACGTGAAAACAATTATGTGTATTTTAAACCCTGAACACAATGTAGTAATGCCTAATATTGAATACTAGATCAAGATAAGTCTTGACAAACTGACCAGACTTAATCAATTTTGACAATAAATGGACCGGTATAAAAAATAGGGAAACGAGATAAAGGAAAGGCACTTTTACTGGTGGTAGGACCTCTTGTGAGTACGCACGGGTAGGTACCACCGCCCTGCCTATTTCTGCCGTCAAGCAGTAATGCGTTTCGGTTTGAAAGGCGGGGCAGCCGTTGTAACTATACTGAGACCATAGAACTTACACCTCAAGCTGGGTGGCGCCTTTACGTTGTAGATGTCTATGGGCTCCAGTAACCGCTTAGCACCAGGTGGGCTGTGAGCTCGTCCACCCATCTGAGCAATAAAAAAAGGCAGTGTTCGATCCGAATCTAGCCCCCTCGTGGTAGCCTAGGGATCCGGAAACCAGCACGACGGGCCTTTCGAACACATACCGCGATCGCGGCGCTGTTATATATTTTCTTAATAGATTATTAGCTAATCACTCACCACGAACCGATGACCTCGTCGTATCGCACCGTAGGATAGGAGGTTTCACGGTGAGGATGTGGTAGGGGAAGTATGAGATGATGAGATACAGCGCGGCCGACCCGCGAATATATCTTTCCAATGGAGAAGTGACAGATATCAAGTCACGAATGCCCCCATCAATTAGCGTCCAGTGTTGCCGTGCTAAAAAACTCAAAACCCACAGATTGGTTTCGAACAGGCCGGATACCAACAAGATGAACGGACACTATGAGGAAGTTGAGCGCAGCGTCCAACAGGTGGTCCATATCGCAGCGGATCGAACTTCATAGAAAAACTTACATACCTATGATCGTGATCCTCATTAATGAGGAAATGACAAAGTAGAAATAGAAAAATCCACCAAAATGCTTTCCAGGTGGCCTGCGCTTTCTTCGCTTTCCAACGGTTCCGCATGGGCGCTGATGCGGCGTTCGCTCCGGCATACGAAGTGGAGGGCGCGATCGGAAGCCCTGGAGGCTTTCCCACCTACCCGGGGGCTCCAGACCCGCAGCCTACCTACACCGAACCTCCCTTCTCACAGACAGCTGGAAACACAGGTAACAAAGATTATAATATGCGGCAAACTTTAATACTATTCTTCGAAGTCGTCGCAACGGTGGTAGATTCTGCAAAGCACTGCTCTTGCTAGGGTTAGTATTAGCAACGACGTCAGGTTTGAGCCCCGTGAGCTCACCTACTAGTTAAGGTTACGCTGAAATGGTCTCTCAATACCATCAGCTTAGGTAAGAAAAAAATAAGAAGTCGATAAAGCACCCAGTGCATTCATATTGATCGCTGAAAAGATAATTCCCGTAATTTTATGTAGTAGGTGGGGGGTAGAGCATCTTGTCATTCCGCACGGGTGGATACCACACCGCCCAGCCTATTTCTGCGGTTTAAAGGGTGAGGAAGTACTATATAAATGAGACCTCATGTCTCAAAGTGGGTGGACAGCCTTTACGTTGGTGTCTATAGGCTCCAATAACTACATAACATGAGGAGGGCCGTGATCTAATTTAATCATATACAGTCAAAACCGTTTACTGCGACATCGTTTAGAACAACATGCCGGTTATAATAACCTAGCACAAAGGTCCCGGCTGAATGCTATATGAGCGCCTTATTAAAAATATTGCTTTATACGACATTGCTTATAACGACATACCTCATAAAACGACCACATTTAACTAATATTTCGGAGAATTAGATCTGTTAGAACGACCGGCTAAGCTGTATTGTAAACAATTTGAATAGGTATCCACATTTGTCTTCAATGGCTATTAAAATCAGGAAAGAAAGCAATAAGATTTAGTTTAGTGTAGGGTCTTTTCTAATTCTTAGAAACAAAACACGTGCATGCGGTAGAGTCAAAGCCCACTTCTTCATATTTCTTCAGTTAGTTTGTTACTTATCTATACACAAGATGCACCAAAACTTTGAATGATGGTATAAATGCTGTGTATTAAGAAAGATTGTTCTTTTTAATGAACAGTTCCAAATCCACAGCAATTATGACGATACGTTAATTAAAATCCAACGTGAATTACAAAATATGTATGTACAACAGAAGTGTTCCAAACAGATCAAAATTACAGATTTTATGCTCACAGAAAAATAACATGCATGGTACTTGTGTGTAATAAACAAAATGTACATAGTTGAATAAATATATTTTTCAATAATTCCCTATCGATTTGTTTGTACTTGCACGATACACATTAAACATCACCGGTTGTTACGACTATCGGTTTTTACGACTGAATATGAGCAGTCCCTTCGATGTCGTTATAACAGATTTTGACTGTATACAAAAAAAATTAAAAAAATGTGCGTAATACATTGGCCATAGATAGTTAATATGTATGTAATGTAATCATAAAAAATAAGTATTTTATTAATATATTTAGAAACAGTTTGAAAATTATGAGCTAGAAATAAAACGACAATAGTAGGACGAGGACTTTGTAGTTAATTTGAATATTTACGGAATTTATCGACAACAAATTGAAATAAATCTTCTTCAGAAACTCGATTTGCGCTAACCTGTGTTCATATGGGGTACGACCCGTTTTACATCCTGTTGAATGGTGATTTGTTTCTTGAGCAGATACCAATCTTTCGTATTGTGATTACCTTTGTACCTAGCGTGGGCTCACAAATGGTTTTCACGTATTAAGCATGTGATAGCCCCGTCATTACAACGTCGATCTCATCTCTCAAGATGGAGGCTCAACCAGTCGCTCGAGACCGTCAGCCGAAATCTTTTTTTTTTATTGCATAGATGGGTGGACGAGCTCCAGCCCACCTCGTGTTAAGTAGTTACCGGAGCCCATAGACATCTACGACGTAAATGCGCCACCCACCTTGAGATATAAGTTCTAAGGTCTCAAGTATAGTTACAACGGCTGCCCCACCCTTCAAACCGAAACGCATCACTGCTTCACGGCAGAAATAGGCAGGGTGCGGGTACCTACCCGCGCGGACTCACAAGAGGTCCTACCACCAGTAAATCTGTCAAATTACACCAACGATACAAGTACAGTCAAAACAAGTGTTCCATGAGTAATAATGTATTTATTATATTCCTAAAATTTCAGGAAACATGGACTACACAGCCCCTACGTATTAATCGACGCGTTCGCGCATTTCAAAATAAAAAATTTTATTTTCAGTATTTATTGTGAGAATGCAACTCCCTATGTATTAGTGTACACTCGTACACAAAAGGGCTTTAAAGTGTTTACCTCTTAAAAAAATCTCATATCAATTTATTTTTGTATCGCGAAAATATGTATTCATATATATTATTATATATTTATACATCACCTCGTATATTAAGGATCCGATTGGATTCCCGCGCTTTTTATATGCAATTTTTAGTTTTTATTGTTCCATTAAATATTATAATTGTACTTAGGTATATAGTAGTTTTGTGATTTGTAAAAGCTGAGAAAATATTATAAATGACATTAAAAACAATTTTTGACTTGTATATTAAGATTCGTTTATATAGAGAATAGATGTGATTGTCGCTTCTCAGTACCTGCAATGTAGTGAAAAATACAGACAATATATCATGTATAATATATTATTAAGTAATTAAAATTATATAGAAAAAGGACGATTATGTAATCTCAGTATTTTGTGCCATTTCTTTTAAGATGCTTCATTTGGAATTTCATAAATGTATTTACGGTATCAGAAATTTTGTAGTGTTTATAGCAAGTAGTTATATATTAAGTGTTTTGAAGCATTGTGTGTGCTAAAATTAGGAAAAAATAATGCTTACTCCGTATTCGCCTAACTTCTTAAGACAAATAGGTCTGACAAGTACATATTAACCATTACTTTGGATTCACTGTGACTCATAACAAAATAGCTCCCAATATTTATCCGAAGTTTTCATAGATTCCTTTAATATCATCACATTACACAAAAAAAGTCATAAAATCTAATACTTACAAGGTTTTTTATAAATAAAAGACAAAAAAATGTTTTATTACAAATAACAATAAAATCACTGTTGTATAATATTTTGGCAATAACTAAAGTAATTATTTAGTACTGCTTGAGCTTAAAATATTAGTAAATACTTTTATCTGCATATCGTTAAAAAAAACGGTGTGATTAATTTACAAAAAATATATATACTATGTATAATTGTAAAATAGAAAAAATGTGTACGCGATGATACCAGCGGCCATTGTTGTTCGAGTAAAAAACCAAACCAAAATCGTCTTAGAGTCGGTATTTTCAAAAGATCTCGTATTTACCAAAAATAATAAATAAAACGGAAGTTTTCAGGAAATAGTTTTTAGTGCACTGTAATTTGGCGCATTCAGTATTAATATAGTCAATAATACAACCGTATAATTATAATCGAAGGTCCCTTACAAATTGGAAAACCGCAATTTTATTTTCGTTTTTTTATTACACAAATAAAATTGAATTCTATTGAAAAGGAAACAAAATTGTTTTTTACTTGCGAGAATTTCCTTCAATTCGTATCGAACTAAACTTAATTGAAATTCAATATATTTTTATCAATATAACATTAGCGATAATGTTTTAGTGTACCATGTTATGTAGTTGACTGGTATGATTATTTAGAAGCAACTCTTTTTAAATTGCGTAGTTTAAATTAAATATATTTCTCCTGTGTATAAATTATTAATTTACTTATATCGTTAATGTATATTTTATTATATTTCAAAAAAAAAAAAAAGAAAGACAGCACTGTGAGTTTACTTAACATTATATTAACTTTGTGTATAGAAAGGATAATGAAGGAAAGTATATTTTTGTGTGCTATATCGCATTAATTAGATACACAAATTATCGAATGAAATCTTACTAGTTGTATGTATCTTGGAGTTGGTAGACTTAGTGAAGTAGTTGCTTAGCTTGTTGTTGATGTGTTTTAATCGATTGTGGGTAGGCAATAATAATAAAAAAAATTACGCATTTTGTAATTAATTTCATGTGTGACAACTGTTACGTTTCAATAAAAGCGTGAGTAATCTCATATATGGCCTACACTTTACGCAAAGGCTCGCTGAAAAGACCTTCTACTGACTACCCACCTTTAATGTTAAAAAAATATATATCGAGAAAATTTGTATTAATATAATATTCTTAGCGTGCAAAAGTGTTTCTACTTACTATTTGATTCCTAGTTAAAATGTACTTGTTTCGTTAAAATAATAAAAAAATATGAGTAATACCAATTCGAATACCAATTTTGTATTCGAGAAAAATATTTTTTTATTTTGATTTTCGAAAAATCAAAAAACCTTTACATTTTGTTTGTTTTCGTTTTTTTTTTTCTTTATTGTTAACATTTATAATTTCACCACATAAAAGTAAATTATATTTAGGGTTGTCCACCGTGTATTAAATTAGAGCAATACGCTTTATTACGTGAATGTGAAATCTGTATTTATAGAATACGCTTAAATCTTTTTTAGCATCCGACACAAAGGTCTCTTTCGTTATAACATATAAAAATGTTTTACTTGAATGAACTAAATTTATATAGTATTATACAATCTAAAAAATTACTCAATGTTAGTCAGTCGATTTTAGACTTAGCTCTTTGCCTATATGAACTTCAATTAGATTGTATTTATCGCGTTATGAAATTCATTTAAAATCTGTAGAAAATAATATAGTATATAATAATTAATACCTTAATTAAACCGATTTAAAATTACAAAAATATTGTTTGTTGTAAATGAAAGGCAACCCTAACTGTAAAGTTGAAATACACATAATTTTGTTCTACTTAAGTTTTAGTATCTCAAATTAAAAAAAAACCTTATCAGAAAAAACATGTAAATATATACAATGATTCGTTTACCTTTTTGGTACTGTACACTCATATACCATAGTAATTTATTTAGTTGTAGTTCGTTAGTAATGTTTATGATTATATTATGTAATAATGACATATTCATTTTTGACGGTGCCATTTTTATTTTTAGTCTGTGGTATTCGACTCGACAATGTGTTACAAATGTGAAATTAACTTCAGAATGAAAATTTATGTGGTTATATAATCTTTTTTGGAACTACGCTAAACTGTTTCTTATTTTAATTTTGACCTACCATAAAAGAAAAATAAAATATATAATAATATTTATTTTATCAAAATTGATTCATTCCGGTCTCCGATAGAACTTGCGAATAAAAACGACCTAATTCACAAAAAAATTAACGGAGATAATTTTGTTTGAAATGTAACTTTTATTTTAACTCTATTTAAATATCTGACGAAGCGTTTTGCGGATAATAAATATTATGTACTTTTAGGTTATTAAACTACCTTGCATTTTGATTTATTTAAATAAACAATAAATTCACTCATAGGTGTGCGTTAGGCACTATTGAGTACATAGAATAAAAATTATACGACAGACTTAAATGATGTCTTAATGTTCCCTGCTAATTTTAATATGGTTACAATTTAAAATTCAAAATGGCGTCGTCAAAAGTAAAAAAGTTTCCAATCTAAGATAAAAATCGTAATAAGTGTTGAATATTTAATGCTACTGTCGTTCGGTGTTTAAATTAAAGGAATAGATTTTAAGCAATAATTTTAAAAGTTTTTTTTTTCTTTGCTGTGATTATTTATTAAATTACAATACATTTCATGTGAACCAAAGGTTTATGTTACCGATATAAACTACCAAAGAATTTATTTTCATTGTGGTACATGCAGTTACAAAATTTATTTGTGAACTTTTGTTTTAAACAAAAAAATTTAATAAAGTAACATTATTCAGCGAATCTAGGACCTTGCCAATAACGTTGTTATTGTTTATTTACAAGTAAAGAAAATATGGTAACTTCCCTTAGGATTTGACGTCAGTTTCGCAAGTTTTTATAAATAATCCTAATGCATAGATTTAAATTAAATTGAAAATTTTCTCAGTATCTTGTTTGGTTCTCGCATATCTTCAATGCCTATAAATTCTATGGTACAACCTGGTTTTTAATGGGTAATTAAGTACCTAATATTTAGCAAACATTTTTTCTTTCAAATTTATATTTTCACAGTACGAAAACTCATGTGAAAAAATTAATCCAGCTTACACATAAGCCTTCTTGGAATGAGGTTTATAAATAATTTAAATATATTATATAGTTTCAGTATGTGTTCTTGTAGTTAAATGATCACTTTGGAAACATGATTTGGATTTATTATGTCGCCCTTATTTTCCTACTGGGTATAAGATGTCGTTGCCGAAGACCAAAATGCATTAAACAACTAACTTAAGCAACAAAACATGGGCTTATTACTGGTGGCAAATTGTAAGCCCCGGACAACCAAACTGATGGAAACTGAAATCTTTCGTAAAGCAGTCATGCATTCCACTATGAAGGATAGGGCAGCCGTCATAATTCAATTGAGACTATAACCTCATGTCCAAAGATTCCAAAGCACTCACGTTGTGATGTGATATGGTCTCCTATAACCGCTTAACCGGGTGGGGAGTGAATACGTAATCCAATCCATACAAGGAAAATGAAGTACTTCTCACGTCCCGTAAAAACTTGGTGCCCACATCGGTGGAATTGCAAAATCTAATCAAAAGTATTAGTAGAATACATATTTTGTCAAGAGATCCACACTAAGGTATTCTTCTTTTTAGAGAACGATTAAAAACAGCCGGTCTATTATTATCTGCAAATTATACATATACTATGTACTTACTTCATTCACTTCAATATTTTCATACACGCATATCGGCGACAGGCGCATTCCATTGGATGACGTCATCTATCCGATTTTTGTTTCTGTGTATTAGCGTATCGTATGATGACCCAATTTTCGTTGATAAGATCAAAAAGTACTTAATTTAATACCTACTGCTCGATAACTCAGATTAAACTCAGACATATACAGATTAAATTTAGTAGTATCGTTTTCTTCCCGCGAATTTCGAAATATATTATGTTGGTTTCTAACAATTTAAATTGTTAACGTACGAATTTGTAAAATGGCGCGATATCTATGTTCAGCAGAAAAAAAAACGTTAAATCCGAGTCGATACAAGCAGTCGCATCCAGATAACTCTTTGTTTTACTTAAAACAGAACGTGACTTTCACAGCTGCACGAGTATATGTAGGCTAAACGTAAGCAATATAGGGCTTTTATTGTAACGTGCATGTGTGTAAAATGTTCCATAAACAGTAGTGGGACGTTTTCCGTTCCGGAAAAAATCTGTTTTGTTCAAGGTTTTTGTCACTATAGCCATTTATGGGTATGACGTCATAAAGTTGTTTATGCAGAATGTGGATTACCATCAATAGCGTGATATTAATTTGAAATTAGTTGAAAACAAGAAATACACGTATACTAGGGCCCTACCACTAATGATAGCCTATAAATAACCGACATGTACTATTTTTTTAAAATTATTATTATAATATCGTAAGAGCACCACTGCAATGTAGGTACCTGTGGTTTATACACATCGCAATGTACTCTACGTAGACTGCCCTGCCCTGCCGATCCTACACAGAACAACTTTGTCTGATTCTCGCTTCTCTGTTGCCTGAACCCAGCATAAAAGTGAATATTAACGACATCCCAGAAGCAGCATTTATGTACAAAGTGATCATTTAACACGTTAAGTCATTTTTCTCCTGTTATGCATAGATAAGTGTTCGATATGTGAAAATGAATCAATAAAAAGTAATTGAAAAAAAACATACAAGATTTTGTTTTTAATTTACGAACTAAAAAAGGGTTTAGAAATAACACACGTTACAAATTACTCTCATTTTTTTAATCTTCGAACTCTGACACTTTCACCTTACAAATTAAGATTATCACAAACAAACAGTGAAAACTGACGATTCACAGAATCTAACTGATGAGGCAACAAGATCTTTTTAGACAATTCAACTCATTTTTGCCAAATTGAAATAAACACAATACAAAAGCTTATCCTAAACAGAAAATATTCAAGTACATTTCAAAACAAATCTCACATGTCATTCTTGAATGATGCAATAATCCTCAGCTATTTTAAGTCCGCACATGGTTACATAAGTCATTGAACTTTTCACAATACTAAACTCGTGTTTTTACACTGAAAACAGTTTGGATATGCGTGGGAGGGCCATTGTCATAAGATTACACAAGATTTCCTTGTTTGCATCATTTAATTTCTGACTTCAAAATGTGGATGAAATATTGCAAAATGATCCCTAAAATGACATTAAACTACACAAATTAGTCTCTTTATACATTGAAGACAGTTTTACTGTCAGTCTAACAAGACATGGCCCTAAATAAACAAAAAATTAAAGCTAAAATGAATCTTACATTATTTCCAATTTTAACTTAATTTTTAAACTTAATATTAGTATCACTTAAACCAGTTTAAAAGGAACTGAATGAGATATGTTACAAAAATACACAGATCTAGTTTTGTAACAAATAAAAGAGCATTTACAAATTAAAAGAAATAATAATGGTAATGAACTAAATCATTACATTGTCATGAAATAAACATATTAATGAAACTGTGTCCTTTTTAATGAATGTGGCACTTAGAAAACAAATATTTTTGTCTTTGAAAATAAGTTACATACACAAAATTTATATACTAGGGTCAATGCATCACAATATGAGATATCATCCCAAAAGAGCAATACATAAAAGTATAGTATACAAATAGACATATAGTGTAATATACAATTTAGAGGTACTCTTTCTTTCAACAAAACCCCAAGTTGTGAAAAACACTCATCAATTTAAAAGCTATATCATTAATCCTATTCTAATTTTGAAAATACTTAGCTGTCGTTCCTTCCACTGGGATTCTTCGATCTCAAAATGCTATTTTACATTTGAATTTTCTTTAAAGCAACTGCATTTATTAAAGATTCTTACGACTATAATACTCTAGCATTCTATGTGTTGCAGTTTTTTATTATAACAGGCCTGGACTTGAGATGTTGGTTTTAACTGTGTTTTAACATTCCCTAAGCCCTGCCTGTAAGCCTGTACTACTTTTTGGCTTTGGCAGAGTTCCCCTGTTTACTAGGGGGTGTCCATCTCAGTGCTGAAGGATCTATTGATAACCGTGGTTTTTTAAAGTGCGGGCTTGCTAATTGTTCAGCAACTATTTTAGGTGTAACACAAATAACATGCTGTCCTTTCCAGTACTTCACCATGTTCATTGACTGTAAAGTTGAAATGATGTCCGTTTGTGATATTCCTGTCATCTGACTTAAATCCTTGATACTTAATGTACCTCTACTAGCACTTAACACTTCTAATAAAACATATGACCAGTACGATCTGTAACTTAACTTGCCTAAATCTGATAAAGGCTTCTCTGGACTTCCAACAACTTGTTCGAGCCTTGAGAGTTCATAACTAAAAGCTATCAGGAGTTTACCATACCCCTGTCTCTGATATGGAGGTAGAGTCAATATACATGCCACATTATTGCCTTCAGGTGAATCCTTTTCTTTTGAAAAATATCCTACAAGGTGAGCTCCTTGCTTGTCAACTTCACACAAAATATAAAATAAAAACTGTTCTATATCAAAATAAAGGGTTTTGTGATCTAAAAATAATTTGGCTAATAAACACAAATTCTGACAATATATTTTATGTTCTTTGCCATCTGCTTCAAAAATAGCTATTGTACCTTTTCTGTATATTTCGTTACCCTGGGGTTGGCGTGCTGTGCATTCACTGAGATGGTACCGGTATGTTTTTTCCATTCTCATATACTTCAAACAGTATTCACATAACCACAATTTTGATTGTTTACCATATTCATCAGGATACGGACTAAAATACCAAGTATCGATTTCATATTTTCCAATTTGTATCCTGTCTATGTATTTAACTTTAGTAATAGCTTCATGTTCCTTTTCAAGCGCGGCGGTCGTTGGATCCATTTCGGCGTAAGTTTTCTGCACATGGTTTATTTCGTCATGTTTACGTTTTTGATTCCTTGTTATTTTCCGGCCGGATTTGTCCGTGAGCAGGTGGTCGCAGTTTATGTTATTGTTCGACTGCTCGCATACGTCGAACCTATCTGACATAACCCGGTGGCGGGACACCCATTCGTCGAGTCTTCTATCATATCCGACATAATGGACATAATATTCGTAACAAGATTCCGCTGTACTGTATCGCGACTGTATAATCTCAGCCGGNAAAAAAGGGAGAATTCCCTAAAAGTGGAAGCACTGCTTCAAAGTACGCTAACCTTTTTTATTGAGTCAGAACTCGTATCTGCCATCTAGTGAGTTTATTAGTTCATTAAGGCCAAAACGTTTCAAAAATGACCTCGCCGGTTCCTAAAGATGACGCTAGTTGAATGTTCTTTTCCTTTGTATGGGAGTTGCACCCCCCTGCGCTTCATCGACGAAGTGGCCATATTAGCATTTAGCATAGATTATAGAAAAACCAAGCAGCATACGAGAAATGCACGGGTAAGAGTTGAGTCCGATAGAATTCTAGCGATTTTATCGATTTCGTATGATAAAGTCTACGATAGAGAGCAATAATGGTAATATTTAAGTTGTATCGGCTACAAAATCCACCACCACCTCTGGATTATAAACAGTTTTTAAATTTTTTAAGAAAGTAGAAAGGAGGCGACTATATACTGAAATATAATATACTGAAAATGACAATGACGGAAAATTTGATATAAAGTGAAACAGGTAAAAAGTGAATTAATAAAACTGTTTTATAAAAATAATCCAAAACACGATATAGTTAAATATATGTATATTTTATTTTTTATTTTTTTATGTTTATTTTTTTATTTTTTATTGCTTAGATGCGTGGACGAGCTCACAGCCCACCTGGTGTTAAGTGGTTACTGGAGCCCATAGACATCTACAACGTAAATGCGCCACCCACCTTTAGATATAAGTTCTAAGTTCTCAGTATAGTTACAACGGCTACCTCACCCTTCACACGTCATCTCGGATCCTCCCGATCCACTAACGGTGCTTCGAGGTACTTCAAGCACCGGTCACCGTTCTCGTCTAACCCGTCGCTTGCGACGAAGGGCTCGACGAGTAAATTAACTCTCAGACACAGCCCATTGAGTTTCTCGCCGGATCTTCTCAGTGAGTCGCGTTTCCGATCCGGTGGTAGATTCTGCGAAGCACGACTCTTGCTAGGGTTCGTGTTAGCATTGTCGTCAGGTTTGAGCCCTGTGAGCTCACCTACTAGTTAAGATTCCGCTGGAATAGCCTCTCTAGGCTACCAGCTTTTATTGGATTAGGAGGAAATTGTAGGACATCCATATGTGATTTGGGAGCAGTATGCTGGGCATATCGGAGCTGAACCAACTAAAAATTCTTGTCGCTTATCAACACCCAACCGAACCTTGCATGAGGCGGTATTCATCCAAGGCCAATTGGGGCCAAGGACCGGTTTTGCCCAGAACGCAACTCTTCTGGCCACCCTGTGTCGATTGCATGCTAAACTGATGGTCGATGGCACATTTACCACCAGGTCTCTCAGTTGGTGAGCACTCTGAAGCCTTCCAGGTGGCGCCACCATCAGTGTGAGTCAGGGAGTGTGATAATCTGTTCCTAATTGATCATTCGCTCGCGTAAAGCAGCTTACACATCGTTTTCTTGGGTCACCTTTGCCCGTCCCCAAATCAAAATACGTAGGGGACCTAATATACTTGGGGTCAAGATTTAGGCGAAATACAAAGGTTCTAAATAAACTAGTTTTAAAACTAATTAAATTTTGAACATTCTTTCCTTGTTGTGCTAGGGTTTTAGCGTTCACCTAAAATCACACAGCTCTTTGAATCACGGTAACTTGTGCGGTGAGCATAGCCTGAGGATCTACCCATATCGTAGCTACAAAGCTATGAATACACCTGCCTTTTGTTTCTGGCAACAGATACTTCGTGTGTATATTTAATTTTTGCGTCCAATTTTAATATAATTACTAGACGTTTTTACATTAAAGATTATGGAATATACTTGGGCCCAAGAAACAACGCAACACTAAACCATAGATAATACACATAAATTTAGGTTTAAGGAGGGTAAAAGTAAGGAAACCGTCTCGTGTGTGAAAAATTGTCCGTTAAAATCTGCTAAATAGTGGCGCTACAGTAGCAACCGGGTAAATTTTAAAAAAGCCGCTGAAAGTTATTAGAATAAGATAGATAAATAAAAAAGGACCAAAGAGCTGTAAGCACTACAAAATCACAAAAAGTATTTTATTTAAAGCTGCTAAGAAAATGCAAGCAATGTCTCCACGTTTTACCACAGCAATAATTTTAGATAAATTGATGAAATTAGTTTGGACTATGTAAACATGTGATGTCTTGTAGATTACACTCTCACTAACTACTCTAGTCATTAAATAATTTTCCTAACTCAGCATACTTCAATCAATTAACAACTGCTCGAATTCTAGAAGATTTTTGGACTGTTATTTAGTGCTGAAAGTGGGACACTTTTCCAAGCTTCTCCCTTATGAGACGTTTCTCCTTATGTCTACCCTCCATAATTAGGTAGTTAACTAAACTTCATATAACGGCTTTTACACAAAACAATATTTTTAGTTCTTTTTTTGCTTTTGTCTGTTGATCAATTGTGTTTTGATAATTAATCACAAATTGCTTGTTTTTAATTTGAATTTTTTTATTTAAACAATGATTTTAATTAGGTCGTAATCATTTAATTTGTTGGGTGCGTTCATTATTAAAAATGACATAAAAGTCAACTAAATGCACCAAATCGAAAAATATTTTTTTCAAAATGGCAATTGGGTTTTTTTTTGGATTATTTGGTTTTGGACGTTTGCTCCGAGTGTCGAGTTTAAAAAAAATACCAATTACTATGTATTCAAAATAAATGTAAAATGAGAATGTATAATATATAAATATAATATAGCCCCAAGAAGTGCGCGGTTGAAGTGGGAGTGCGCAGAGTATTCTGTTCGTAGAACCTATGACCTCTCTGACTGGTCTGCGTTTTTGGATGGCGGCGCGGCGGCGCGGCGGCGTCGCACTGGAATACACAGTGTAGGTAGACCACGCAGTAGATCGGTGACCTACCGAAGGTCGAGGGAATCGGTTTGGGTACCGCAAAACCCGCCATTGTGATGAACCTCAGGGAAGGCCTATATCCAGCAATGGACTTCCGCGGGCTGATGATGAGATGAAAGATGAACGCAGTGAAATGAAGTTGACTTACTTGAAATTGTAATCCATTGAAATGAAACGGAATAAAAAGGGATGAGATGAGATGAAGTGTAATATCGTAAAATGGTGGGAATTTATGGAAATTTAGTGGGCTTCGGAAGTACCCGTGAAACCGCATCTAGCGACTTTATTTAATTGTTAATTGTATTAATGTGTGTACGAATTTACGGCCCACCTGGTGTTATGTAGTTACCGGAGCCCATATATATCCTCAACGTAAATTCCGCCATACACATTGAGACATAAGTTCTGAGGCCTGAGTATCATGGCTGTCCTATCCTTCAAACCGAAACGCAGTACTGCTTCACGGCAAGCTGTATCTACCCATGCGGGTCCTCAACATGCTTTGTCACCAGTAATTACACAAATTATAATTTTGCGGGTTTGATTTTTTTTACACAAAGTTATACCTTCACCATGGAAGTCGATCGCGAACATTTGTTAAATATGTATTTCATTGCAAAAATTGGTACCCGCCTGCGGGATTCGAACACGGTGACATCGCTTGATCTCATCTTATTCTTTAGGCTACGACAACTTCTAAGACTTTCCCACAGTTGTGCAGTTTTACAGATGCTGAATGGTTAATTAATATTAATACATGCTTAAATTTGAAGAAACATTAAAATCCAAAAAAATTAAATAATTCACACAATCCATTCCTCGCATTCCCGCCAAAAAGTCCAACGCACAAAACCAAATATAAATTATTTTTTTGTTGGTTCTGTGGTTGGCTTTGAACAAACAGGAAAAAATCAACCTTCTCGATCGATATTTGGCGTGTTTCAAATAATTTGTTAAAGTCGATAAAATAATCGATTTTCTGATTCCAAATCGATTTTCCGATTGATACATCTCGCATCCATCCCTAATTGAATGCCCAGTTGACGGAGCGGAGTGAGTGCACGTAATCGGCGATACCTACGTTTTTTCAATTTAATGAGACGAGGAAATTATTGTAAATCGTCCTCTTATCTCCAAGATATGAAATTGCGGTTGTTATCTAAACACTGTACCTTTCGTATCTAAGACTACGAGTGTTGATTGTGATGCCGACGTATTTTGATTGTCTAAAGTAATAAGTAGTGAAAAAACGAGTTGTTCTGTGTAAGCATCCGTTGTGTTTTATTTTGTGACAAAGATTGGATAAAAAGCAAAAATGCAGGCAATCAAGTGTGTTGTTGTTGGAGATGGGTGAGTTCGTTGTATTTCTACGTCATTCTCGATTTCGTAATGTAATAATTTGAAACTCAAATGCTCTGACGTCATAATTTAAATTAAACATCTTAAACTTACGCCGTCGTTTCAAAGATAAACATGTATGTTATAATTGTTATCACCCTGCCATTGTTATATTGATAATATATATGTATCTAAAATTTGTATCATTTTAACACAGAGTGAAATCCAAATCAGGTGTCGGTTATTTCAATATAATATAACAATAAAAAACTTTATTTAGGTTATGATTTTCTCTCTATGGTTGGAAGAAATTAAAAATTTAAAAATATAGATAAATGTATTGATGAATAGTCCATCTACATGTCATTGACCTTTAATAGAAATTTTCTTTCTTTTAACTATACTCTACTAATATTACTACTGAGCAAAATCATATATTAACTATAATAATATTTTCTAAATTAGAAGAAAATCTTGCTGTTTACACTTTTGCTCTCATTCTCATTTGTAACAGCATCACATAATATGTGGTGAGAAAAAAAAGAAATATTTTAAGTTTACATTACCTTTTAATAACATGGCTAGAATTTTTAATTCGAGGGAAAAAATGAAAAATAATGTTGCAGTGCTTATTTATTGTGAGGTTTGCTTTTTGTGGTCTTTTTTTTTAAAAGACGTATGTTTCTCTTTTTACTGTAAAAAAAAAAAAATTTTGATTTGAAGTTTATCTAACAGTTTTAATATTAAGATACAACAGAATAGCCTTTACTTGTAATTTGTTATAAATAATTGAGAAATTAATAGAGTAATATCATTTCGACATGTTTTTTTTTTCTTTTTCTATTGTATTTTCTATTTCTACTGTAACATTCATCCAAATGTTTTCAATTGAAAATTTATAATGTTCATTCTCTCGGAAACTCAACGTGATGTAAACTTTGGGCTCTATGTTTCAACAGCTGCTCCGAATCAAAATGGTTTTTTAAATTTATGGAGTCCTTAACAGCACAAAGGGGATTCCATCCCTGGACAAAGATTTATGCTTTACTAAGGATCATTTTGGCTTCTCGTAGAGTACTGAAAGATGCCCAGCTATCCCAAATACCTACTACATCTATTTGACACCATGTTAAAGGTGGCGTTACGATTGTTAATAATCTTAATCTCAGAGTTTTTTAAACTGGAAACTGGATCTATGAAGACATTTTGATTCTCTTTGTATCTAGTACCATATTTTCCATGGTGCTAAGGAATTATTCAAGGTCCTCATTTTAGCATCAAATATATGAAATAATGACACTATATTTAAATAGATATAAAATAAGATACATTTGAATTAAAATTCAAATGCATAATTCAATTATCTTTTTTTAAATATTGTGATAATCAACATTCATTACTTCAAGCCATTGTAAAATTGCTGGTATGTACAAGTTTAATTGCTTACAGAATTATTACTTATGCAACTTATGGAATAGCACAAAAATATTTAAAGGCATAAAATCAATTCAGGCTCTCTCAAATTGTTAGATACATGATTGAGAATTCAGTTTCATTACTAATAAAAAAGCTGCAAGAAGCTCAGAGCTAACCCTTTTCCTTTATTAACTTTAAAAGTAGTCATCAGACAGACTAGACTAGAATTAGAACATTATTGAGAAGTAATTAAAGACCTGTTCAGTATTATAGTGAGTGTGTGTACTGTTTGGAGCACAATTTCTAACTCATAAGATTAGAAAACCTATTTTAAATCTATCTAATCTCTACTAAAAAACAAAAAAATCCTAAGATTTTTTAATCTAATTGACTTAATATTTATAGCGTGGACATTACAATCCCTACAATACATTATACTAAAAAAGGGTGGGTCTCTACATATTGATGTTATTGATATCCCTAAATTTTGCATATTTTGGGTGGGAGGGATAGTGAAAACACTATCTCAGCTCATCCAGGAACTCCGCTAATTGTTAATCTGAGGTGATAAGTCTCATATAAGGCCACTCCTGTACACTCAATGAGCTGTCTAATTTGCCATTGTGAACTCATGTATATTATATGGCCTGCAGTCAGTTATTGCTGCAACAGTAACAGTTCTTAGCTGTCACCTATTAAGATGAAATGCCGGGCTGAACAGTCTTACTTGGTTAGGTTCTTTTTTCGTTTTCTGTTGGCAGTTTGGGTAATATAATGTTGATTTTAACAATAATATGTTATGATGATAATAGATATAACTTTATCAAATTTATAATTATTTGAGGGTAATTCGTAATCATAAGAATGAAAACATTAAAACTATCTTTAATTCCCTGCTTACTTTGTTGAAATGCTAACATGCCTGAAAAATGAAGGGACCAAAAATATTATGTATATCACTTTACAGCCCATAATATGTGCAAGTAATTGTGTTAATCAATTACTTTTTTACATTCATCGGAGGGTGATAACATAACAAACAAACAATTAAATTATAGGGGTAGTCATCATAGAGCTGAAGCTATTTATATCCTGTTGAGCAACCGGATTCCGATTTCTGGACTACCGATTATCATTTTCATTATTTTAGCACTTCAACAGGTGAAAGGTTATAAAATAATTGAATTGCACTGACAAAAATGTATGAGATCTGAATCATTATTATGTTATCATAAATTTAATCATGACTTTACTACATTTCTTATGCCAAAAATTTCATTTTGTTTTGTATGTTTGAAAGATAATATGCTCTTTATTTGCTGATCAGTGGTGACCGCCACTCATGCAGGTCAACAATGTTAGGGGCACAACTGAGCCACTACTCATCTATCCAATTTTTGTGGTTTTTGAATTATATTTTTTCAAATTAAACACAGTTTTTTTTTTTCTATTTCAAAATGCCTCTCAAAAGAATTGGTGAATTCTTAACTCATTTACTACTATGTGGTACACAGCTAAATGTACGTAGATATTATTTTATCATCACGAACAATAGTTACAAAACAGTGCTTGTTCATTGGTTCCGAAAACAATTAAACATTGCTATTTATGTAAGCCGATACTCTGCGAGCGTTTAGTGGGCCGCCAAGGAAATTAACCGCTTTCCGAATTAGAAAACGGCACTGGTCGAGTTGGCAACACTCGTTCCTTATGGTAACCCAATCCAATTGAACTGTGAATGTTTTATTACAATTTGATTGCTATGTCCATAAAGAAATAGTGGAAGGACCACACAAAATTATATTGTGTTTTTTTTAATTAGTCTTTGTTTATACACGATAAAGCTAACGGTAACCAGATAAACAAAAATATAAATTGAAATCTATTCGAAAATAAGGAAGTTCTAAGCATATTAATTTCATGCTACACAGAGAGCGTAATTAGTAGTGACGTCAATGATTGTATGTTTTGCACGGATACTATACAACACTCGTTTGGTGCGTAAGTGAAGGAAAAAAACACAATGCCCTCACCGTCTAAATACCTAAATCTCAATGCTGAAATAACTTTTTTATACATTTTTTACTGCTTACGAGGACGAAAGAACTCACGGGCCACCTGTGCGCTTAGTGCGGGTTTTTTAACGTTCTCGATAGCGTAAACGTTAATTCAAATTTGTATGGAGTTGGAACGTTTGCCCATGTTTGCCGCTAGGGGCGCTGTTCCAACTGCATACAAATTTGAGTTAACTATTACGCTATCGAGAACGTTAAAAAACTCGCACTAAGCACACTGATTGTAATAGGGGGCCGTATTAAGAGTCCCACAGACTTGCGATGTTTCTGATCATTATTTAGACTCGGTTTTAAGATAACGTCATATAATATGTATTCCGTAAAGCTTTGACCGTAACAGGATCACGCATGGCATTTATTTATGTAATGAATTAGTCAGTTAAATAAAAAAAATCCATATAATACACTATCTGAGAGCAGTTAATGAAAAAGCGATCTTACCTAGAATGAATAAAGCGTCTTCTAGAGCTGATGACAAAAACAGTTGCAGTTTTTTACTATTCTATTCAGCGTTAAAGCGATCATGAACGCTTTTTTCTGACAAAAACGTTTTATTCGTTTTTAGAAACAATCTATCTTCTATCTATCTATATATTTAAAAATGAATTGCTGTTCGTTAGTCTCGCTAAAACTCGAGAACGGCTGGACCGATTTGGCTAATTTTGGTCTTGAAATTATTTGTGCAAGTCCAGAGAAGGCTTAAAAGGTAGATAAATATGAAAATGCTCGGAATTAAATAAAAATAACAATTTTGTTTTCCCTTTGACGTGTCCCCCTTCGGACGGATTCCTTTTATTTGTTTTAAGTTTATTTTATGCAAAAGTTTAGGTCTTTTATTTATACGAAGTCTGCCGGGTCAGTTAGTTATTATATAAAAATCGAGAAGCGAATTGCCACTCGAATTAATATGAAGTATCTACTAAAATATGAGAAAATATGACGTAGGTATTATTTGAATATGAAGACATTAGAATTCGAAATTTAAAACGCGTATGAAACTAGCAACCTCTTGAATTTCAGTGGAGTGAATTATTTTTTATTAATCACTTTTCAATAATCAACATTCCTTAGAAACTGTTCGAAGAAGGTCCGACTTTCGTATAACTGTAGCCAATCGGTCAGACGCTACTCATTGGCCTCTTCTTAATTAGATCAAAGGATCCATAATTAAGAGAACGTGGCATTCACATTTTTGCTTCTTTTGGAACTCTTAAAAATTATTTTAGTAGTTTCCTTTATTTGAATTAGATGTGCAGACGAATTTGCGATTCGCTTAAAGGGATTATTGGCTTTTATTTATTGAATAAACGGGTTATCGAGCGCACGGCCCGCAATGCTGTAAGTGGTATTAGTTACCGGAGTCCAGGGATATCATAATGTGAGAGTTACCTAAAGAGTTGGGGTTTAATTCTTAATTGCGCATAGATATGGCCATCTTGAGGCGTCGATCATCAGAGTTTATAGATAAAAGCAATAATTAATGACAAATCATAGCGTTGAAATGAGATTTAGGGGGCTTAC